ACTGCATTTTGAGTGCTCATACATGTATTGTGTCCCTTAATGAGAAGCAGCTGTAAGAAGTGCTGGTTTGACCCCAAAGTGTGCTTGTTTTGCTGCTGTCTCTGTTTAAATGGAATTGGTGTGAACTGCTCTGTCTTTGCTTTTTCAGACAGGTAACAATTAAACCATTATTAGTCCCAGTCTGCTTTAACCAGTAATCTGGGGCAAAAAAAAATATTATGTCCCGCATATGTAAATATAATCTGTTTATAGTTGGGCTGGCTGTTGTGCTGCATATCAGTCATGTTAAATGCACTAAATTTGGGATATGAAGCAAAATGTGGGCAAACCCCAGTGTTTGTACATGGTGTGTTTGCCTTCTTTTGCTAACATTATTTAAAATTTGCAAACATTATTTAAATGTTTAAATTACATATTCGAATCAGAAATTTTTCCTAGAAAACCCATACCACTCATTCTTTATGTTCTGAATTGATCTGGGGAAAATGCATGGTGTGTCAGTTTAACTGGCTGGCAAGATGTCTTTTTAGTGCTTGACAGCAGAAAAATAAATACAAATTGAATTTTTTTTTTAATTAGAGGTTGTTTTTATGAATGTGTTGAAGGCATCTGGAGTTATTTCAGACTGTTGTAAAACAGACCTGCAAACAGTCCTGCTTGTTTGGAGGATGACAGGCAGTCCCTAAGGTTGCAGTCCCTAAGAGTGAAATAAACTTTTTTTTTAAATGGGCTTTTCAGTCAGTTTCAGGTCAAGGTATGAAGTAGTTGGATATGGTCTGGGGGTTTTCATTTTAGAAAGCAGACAAAGTATTGTGGCAAAGTAGAGAATATCATGAATATCTGGGTACAGAAGATTGGGGTTTGTAATTGCCTTAAATATTTATCTATATGATATTTTGCAAGAAATAGTTCTAAAAAGTGAGGGTGGTTATGATAGTTTTTGTCACGGCTCAGGTGGGGTGTCACCTGCTGCTGCCACCACTCTGGATTTACGATCCCTTGAGAAGGCCCAGAGCACCCTCCCAAGACCTTCAGACCTCCCTTTTGGCCAAATAATAAGAGTGAGGACCAGGCAGAGTAAACAAGGAAAAGGTTTATAGGAGGTCAAACAAACAAGGTGCAGAATAGGAATAGTAAGTGGGTGAAAAGAAATCAAATGGCCTAAAATGTCTAAATATATACTGTCCCTAGCTCACTACCTTAAGTGGCCTTAGACTACTCACCCTTCCCTCAGGATAAGGGTTTCTTCCCCACAGCAGCTTCTTTCTTCTGGACCTGTTTCCTGGGAAGAACAGCTTTTCCTCTTGTACCAGTTCTTTTATTCCCCAGCCCTCTTTTCCCCTATTGGTCAAAATCGGTGCCAAAACTTCCCAAGGCCTTCTGGGGTTTGTAGGCTCAGCCTCCCCTACTGCTAGCCAGGATCCCTTGGCCTAGTAGGCCTCTGGTGGCACAGCCCAGATCATGAACAGTTTTAAATACGGGTTTTCAGTTGGAGTGCACACTTGGGATTTTCCCTGAACACTGTTATGTTTCTGCAAGCTAAGCAGAGGTTCGAAGAATGAGCCACAGCCCCTCAATATTTGAGACCCTGGAGAGTTGCTGCTGGTCAAATTGCTGATAGTTCAGTGGTCTGATTCGGTATAACACAGCTCTCTCTGTGTGTGAGTATATCAGTTGCATACTTAGAAGGGGCTGGGCATAATGAGGCCAAACAATTAGACTCAGGAAAGTTAAGCAGTCTTGCTTATTATTAAAGGTCTCCATTAATATTTGCAAGTGCACTGTAAAATGTTGAAGTTGTTTTTGTTATCTATACTGCTTTTCACATCATCCTACAGAAAAAGTCCCTAGAGTCTATCAACTCCAGGCTTCAGCTGGTTATGAAAAGTGGTAAATATGTACTGGGATACAAACAGACTCTGAAAATGATCCGGCAGGGCAAAGCCAAGTTGGTCATCCTTGCCAACAACTGTCCCGCTCTGAGGTAAGTGAGCATCTACTGAAAACAGACTTCTTTTTAAGTTCAAAGGGTGTGTGTATATTGATGCTTTCAGCTGCATGGCTGAAATAGGATTTCTTAACCACTGATTTTTTTTAGAAAAATGAGCTGCTTCAAATGTTGCACTACCAAATTATATATACACAGCATATATAGGTTAGAAACCATATTTATGTAGCAGAGACAGAGTGATGTATACGGCACAAAAACAATGGTTAAGTAACAGTCTTCGGCTATTACGTCTCAAAAGTAGCTTGTGCATGCTTAACGCTGATTCTAGGGAACAGGTGCAGTAGATCTTCACAGGACTTGATCAGATTATTCTTCTCAAATTCTCATCAGTCCCCAGTGTGCAAGGAATGCTTCTCTCAGGGTGGATTAGTGGAAACCTTTGCCCCAGTACGGCCCCAGTCACACGGCAAAGTTGCCGTGGGAGAGGCACGGATGGTGGGCGGATTATCCGGGTGCGATCACACCCCAACATCTGGGAAGTGGAGCGCACCCGTGGCTTACCACCGACAATGCGGGTTAAAAAACTAGTACCTCCAAGGTATTAGTAAACGTTTGCCACGGGCTGCCTCCAGACGCCCAAGGTGTGATCGCGCCTGAGTGCGGCATTCCCCTCCAGTCCCTCGTTTGACCGGGCCCTACATCAAGGTTAGCATGATGTTTTCTTGCGACTTAGTACCTCAGCATCTGTTTGGCTGAAGATTGCTTGTACTAGAAGAGGTAATTAACAAGTATAGCACATGCTTATGCAAAACATTTCTTTCAAAAGGATTTTTTTTTTAGGCAGGTAGAATGGTCTGTGCCATAAGGTGCTGCTGGTAAAAGCTGCAGGACTGTATCACTATAGCTTCCGTCCTAATGGCATCAGTATGCTATATTTTTGCTAAAAGCCAGGTTTCTAGGATGTGAGACATATTAACATTGTGTGTTTAAATTCTCAGAAAATCGGAAATTGAGTACTATGCTATGTTGGCCAAAACTGGCGTGCACCACTATAGCGGCAACAACATTGAACTGGGTACAGCTTGTGGAAAGTACTACAGAGTATGTACGCTGGCCATCATTGACCCAGGTATGTAGGCTGCCTTTTAAACTAAACTTATTTTAAGTTAAGTTACTGTTTATTTAAATTATTTACAGTCTGCTTTTCTCAAAAGACAACTTACACTGTATCGCTTGGTCCTGTCACTGATATTGTTTGAAAGCGGCGCCAATTTCAGAATTCAGGTCTTGACCACTTTCAGGTCAATATGCAGCAAAAGCAACATCATGCTTGTTGAATATGTGTTAGCTTAGATTTAGCAACATGGCCTTACATCTCTCATAGAACTCACTATGGGCTCCTGCAATACACTAGAATCAGCCCTGTGATTTCTGGAGATGTGACTTGCATTTAACTAGTATTTAACTTAGCTGGCCGTCTAAATCAAATAAAAAACTGTAATAAAATGACTGCAACACTTTTGTGATCTATTCAGGTGAAATTTGCTGTCTTCAAAGTGCCTGAGATGAACTAGGCACTTTGAAAACGTGTTTTAAAAATCAGTGCAGAGTAATCTGCTCTAATGAAAATCTGAAGGGGCAATCTGGACTGAGTGTCTGGCTTCTATAATTGTGTGTGTGTGGGTAGTTCTATAATGAGACATCAGGTAAACTAGCTCCCATTTATCAGAGCTCCCATTATAGCTTAGAGGTTCGTTGGAAGGCGCTTGATGAGGACTGAGGTCAAAAGTTTTCCCCAAAGCATTTCTGAGTTTATATTTTGCTTTCCATAGGCTTTTACACTCCAACTAAGATTCTCATTGTGATACCTGAAAAAGCATTAACACTGCGAATATTCTCGCTGTCCTGATCGTCCAGTGGTCAGGGCAGGCTAGACATTCGCTATAGCAACACTATGCAGTGTGTCCCCAGGGCTAGTTTGCCTCCCTAGCTCTGGTTTTTAACTGCTAGTGATATTCCGGAATAATGAATGGGACTTGTCTAGTGTGGGTTACCTTTTAAGATAATGCACTTAAATATATAGAGGTTAATAAATCTTTGTTCTAACCTTCTTGATGTTAAAGTGCTGATTTTTTTTTCTCTTAACAGGCGATTCTGACATCATTAGAAGTATGCCAGAACAAACCAGTGAGAAGTAATATTGCAGAACTTTTCATTTTTGTGTAATAAAAACTGGTTACAAATCTATTGCTAGCATCAGCTTTCATAAAATGGATACAAAGAGACACCTTAAAAATCAAAGTAAGAATACACTATAAATTTGCAACTAGATATGTGAAGTACACAGATAAATTCCTGTGTTACATAATTTTATTGTAACTTATTCATGGAATTCATATAGTTGGAGATTCTTAATAATACCAAGCATTTCAGGTCAACCAGACTACAATTAGCATCCACTGAGGATACCGAGGACTACTATTAGATACATTGCCCCTGTTGGTTGATATTGTGCCTCTTTATTGGAAAAGCTGCAACTGTCTAGCTTTACACAAAAGACCAGTTATTTGGAAGAGGCACAGGGAAGGGAAGGTTGAGGGTGGGAAGAGAGAATTCAGAATACCTCAAGTGTAATTGAAGTGGCTAAATTTGCGGATGATACAAAGTTGTTCAGGGTGGTGAAAACCAGTGAGGATTGTGAGGTACTCCAAAGGGATCTGTCAAGGATGGGCGAGTGGGTGTCAACATGGCAAATGGGGTTCAATGTGGCCAAGTGCAAGGTGATGCACATTGGAGCCAAAAATCCTAAATATAAATACACATTGATGGGGTCTGAACTGGCAGAGACTGAGCAAGAGAGAGATCTTGGAGTTGTAGTGGATAACTCACTGAAAATGTCGAGACAGTGTGTGACTGCAATAAAGAAGGCCAATGCTATGCTGGGGATTATTAGGAAGGGTATTGAAAACAGATCAGCCAATATAATAATGCCCCTATATAAATCAATGGTAAGACCTCATTTGGAATACTGTGTGCAATTCTGGATATTTTCTAGTGTGAGGTGTAAAATAGCCCTTTCCTGAGCAGCAGGTGTTTTCTGTTAGAAGGGCATAGGGATCATTCTAGTATATTTAACCCTTGAGTGTGGCCATGTTGTTTGTCCTTGAGATACAATTTCAGAGGCCTAACTGAATTTCAAAACCTAACTCAAACTTATACATAAGGAAACTGTGTAGGAAGTCTTGAGTACAACAAGCAAGGTGTTAAACTGAATGTGAGAATGCATGTGTATAATTCAGTCTTGAATCAGTAACTTGCCTTATGGAAACCGAAAGATACTAGAGGTCAACTTGAACTAAAACAATAGCTCCAGGAACTGGATCTAAAACTCGAGTGGTACAGCTTTAGAAGATACAAGATTAATAACCCAAATGTGTGCATTCTGACAAAGCCATCTCTCACAACTGCCTATCCTTTCGTGTCCTCCAACAGTTGCCCAATCTAATGAATATACAGTGAGGTTTACACTCAGGCTATGTGCTGCACATAAAGGTGGTCATGAGCAGAATTATGAGTGAACATCCAAGGAAAGCTGAGATTCTCAGAACTGTGAGCAACACACTAAGTATGAAACTAGATGTACCAACAAAAGATGGCTATTTTACCTCTGGGAATGTGGGCACAGAGTGTGGGAAAAGTCTGTACTTTGTTTTACCATATGCGGCTCTGCCCAGAGTCGGCACTAAAACGGGACAATCATTACATTTATATCCCACCTTTGTCATGGGAATTGGGGTTGGATCCCATGGAAAAGATCTGCATTAATAAGACAGAACACACATAATTTCTGCCAACTCCCACACCCAAGGCTGCTCCTGAGCATTCGATCACCCAGAGCAACATTATTGGGGGAAGGGTTAAAGTTGCAGCAGGACGAGGGAGATAGTAAAGTTGTGCTTCTGTGCCTGGAATTTATCCCAGATCCAACCAAGGTAATGTATGTTTGACAGACTGTCAACAGTTAATACCTCACAGAGAACCTTTGAGTGACAGGCTGTTCACGCGGAATTCTATGGGGAATTCTGTTGAGAGCATCAGTTAAGAAATGACAGTTGAAGAGATAGTTTAGCACTGACTATGGCCTGGGAAACAGGCTGAAGGAGTGAGTGGATCACAATGGATCCCCATTCAAGCCAAAAAGGGACAGAGCTTCTAGTGTAAGAGAATTAATTTCTGCCCAGTGAAAAGAGAGAGAACTCTTAAAAGATAATTTGTCTTCTTATCCTATGATTGCTAAGCTTACTCAAGTCCGTTGGTGAGGTACCTTTTGGACCATGCAGTGTCTACCAGATCATCCTTATCCATATGCTTGTTAATCTGGTTCAAAGAACTCCGAAAGGTTGGTGTGATGGACAGGTTAGGTTTTCGTCTCTAAGAGCAACCAATGGGAACTGATGGAATGTACGTAAGAGGGACAGATGAAAACAGCCAGTTAAGGCAATTGGGAATGAGATTGGCTGAATTAAACTGACAAAACCAGCCTACGGCTGACTGGAAAAAGGTCACCTTGTAAGGAAGAATTCGTAATGCCTGAATAGGGAAGCAGAATCCAAAAGTTCAACGAAAGAGAAACTTCCTAAGATCTACCTGATCACCTCCAATGTTATGTTCAAAGCATAAATGTTAGCTCCTTGTTTGTTTATGGTCTCAGCGGAAGAAGCAAGCGTGTGTGCACACATACAGACGCAAAGATCTTGGTCTATATATAAATATATAAGCATATGAATAAATGGTTGCAGTATGTGAATGCAGTAGTGATTGAGTCCCCAGCCCTAATAGCTCTGTGCAATGTCTGAGGGAGGGGTGATTATTAAAGGGGACTGGGCTTCCCTATCCGGTGATGTCTGAGTGCGAGAGCAGTCTCATGGCGCTCTCTGTTTTAAAAGAGGCAAGACAGGTGGTGAACTGTGACTGCCTGACCTATCTGTAACCCTGAACCTGTGAGAAAGAGGTTGTAGAGGGTGATAGGGACTTTCGAGAAAATAAAAAGCATCACAATTGGAGATGCAGAACTTCCCTCTGAAGAAGCCATGCTTATTTTTCCTCAGCAGCCTTTGGTCTTCAATGTGCTTAATAATTCCCTCTTTAGTTTCAACTAATTTAGCTGGAACAGATGTTAAGTTAATTGCCCTGCAATTCCCGGATGTCCCCTGGACCCCTTTTTAAAAATTGGGATGAGCTTTGCTACTATCCAGTAACCTGGCATGGAGATTAATTGTGGCCACAAGTTACTTGTTAACAGATCAACATTTTCACATTCGGGTTCCTTGGGTGTGTGCCATCTGGATTTTCAGTTTGCCTAGTAGTCCTAGAACTTCATCTCCTATCACCTCAGTTTGACTCTGTTCTTCAGGCCCTTCCTCAAAACTACAACTCTGGCATGGGTATATGCCCTGCATTTTCCAGAGTAAGCACAGGATTCATTCAGTTTCCCTGCTGTCTCCCCATCTTCCTTAAGCCTTTTATTCCAAGGCCCAACTGGTTTCCTTCTGATATATTTGAAGGAATGCTTATTGTTTGTATTAATATTTTTGGTATCTACTCCTCAAAATCTCTTGTCTTACTTTATTGTCAACTTACATTTGTTTTGTCAGAACCCCCTTGATTGCAGAAACCTTCCCACTTTTTACAGCAGCTTAAATTAAGTTGTATGATGTACTTTCCAGCCGTACTTTGCAGGTCTTGTTCAAAATCTCACGGCACCACTTTAGATTCTTTTTTCATTAAAAGCACCATTTTATTATATTACATAGCTTATTTCAATTGAAAACAACTGTATAAAACACTGGATTGTACATCTTCTATTTGCCATCAATGCAAAAATGCAGTCTGGTACGGTACTTTGTTGAAATACTGGAGCCATAAATCTCTCCTTTCTCCTAGGAGCACACAAGGCCTTTGATACATTACCTTTGTATCTATAAATGTACAGCACAACATACGTTTCTGCTGAGTGTTCTTCAGTATCTTAATCTGTTTTCCAGGGCTTCCATTCTTTTTGTCATCTTGTCTAGTAATTATACATTAAGGAAAAACATTATAGGCCATTTAATACATAATGTTGCATAGCACTATATATGAGGTGTATTGAATCCTACAGATTATTTCTGCCTGTGCGAAAGTACTTCTGGCAGAGGGGCTGATTTTTGCTGACTTTTCTTTTTCCCATTGCAGGACCTCCCCCTCCCATTATGCTTAACACTGTTCCTGGGAGTCCCTTCAGGACAAGGTTTCAAAGGATGTGGGGATTTACATGGCGGGAGGGATGGGACAGGGGAGTTTTATCCCAAAAACTGCTCGTGGACCATTGGATCCACCTTAGTATTATTTACTTAAAAGATTTATAGCCTGCCTTTTAGCCCTATCAGGACCACCAACTTGCTCGGAAAAGCTAAAAACAGAGTACTATAAAAATTAATCATAAAACCAGAACTAAAATATACGTATATAAAAACACAGACATCAATTTAAAAGGGTGGGGTAGAGAGTAGAGACGAACCGAATGCACCCTCGAAAATGGCTCATTTGGGCCCCTTTTGGGCTGCTCCAGGCCAATTCAGATTCTCTGATCTGAATCGGCTTGCTGCCGAAATTCGGCGGCAATTCGGCCCCATTATATCCTATGGGTCATTGAAGTCTTGCCACCACGATTGAAAAGGCCCTCTCTCGGGTGACCACCCGCCTAATCCCAGAATGCAGGGGGCTCCCAAAGCAGGGCCTCAGAAGGTGACTGTAGTGGCCAGGTAGGATTGTAAGGGAGTAGGCAGTTCTGAAGGTAGTCCTTAGTAGAGTTACCTGATTGATTATAAAGTTAAAATCCCACAAATTGCATGTAACTACTAGAGACATCTCCATCCAAAGAAATGCACATCCATCTCCATCTGAAGGTATGCGCAGCCAGTTAACTGACCACATCAGTATTGCTGTGTTGGGGTGGACAGGAACACTGAGAGATGTAGCTGCTGTGGAACCCTGCCTGGTGCAGAAAAAAGCTGATATAGTAACAGCGACAGATAGTAGTCCCACTGAACACTTGGCAACCACATCTGTGACGTGTATTTGTTCAAGCATAGCTGAGTTCTTGGCAGGAGTAAGAAACAACAGAAACATTAGGATAGATGGCACTTAATGATGCCAGCTATTCAGTCCCATGCTGCATAGCAGTTTTGTGGCAGATTGCTCTGCTCCAGCAGCTGAAGTAGTTACCTAGCGCCAAGGACTTCAGTAACTGTAGCAGCTGACAGTGTCGCTGAGTTCTGACATTTCTTAAAGGTAGGCTCTGTGTGCATAATGTGATATTCAGCTTTTAGTCACTGCTCAAGATCACCTGATCATAGACAAAAGGAAAGTAAGTAAATAGGCAGCTTGGACTCTCAAGATTGCAGCTAGAGGGAGCCTTTGCTTCATACTGTTACTACCAAGCTTTGTATGAAACCACAGCATGTACTGGCAGTGTCAGCGATGTATTCGATCCAGTGTACTAGAAATCAGACTCGTGCTAAAAACATGCCACTACTACTGAAGTAAACAGCAAGGCACCAGAAAGAGTACAAAACAGGTACTGTGCTTTCAGTGTAATCTCATTCCCCCTTGTTCCCCGGTATATATACATCAGTTCATGGTGATTCTGCATATCATGTCCATTTTCCTGTTCAAAGTACCCCCTGCTTCAAACTTACTAGAAGATTATTGGGGAAAGACTCCCAAGTTGTAACAACTCTCCTTTCTGTTCCTACCCGAAGCGTACAGGAGCTATCAGATGTGCCAGGGACTGCAAGTTTTTAGATGAAGCTCTTGCAGAACTCCTTCAAATATGTATTTATTTCTTAATGTCAGACTATTCCCTTATTAGAATGGGGTTTGATTTTTAAATCAAAGAACCTATGAATTCATTGGAACAGGAACATGTATGTAAAAAAAGGATATATTGTCTTGTTAGTTTTTTAACTTCAGCATTTGCCAAATTCTGGAATGTCATAAGATTTTCACATTTGCATGGATCTTTCTTGTCTTCTGAAGGATTCCCTGAACAGGAAGTGGAAAGTATTCATAACACACAAGCTAAGGAAACAGAGTCATCCTTGGAACAAAGCTATTAAATCTAACCTATGCTTACATTAACTGTCATTAAAGTAATCAACAGCGTAGTGTGCTGGAAACTGATGGAAGAAGTATGGAAAATTTTTCATGACTAGATTTAGCATATACATTTAGCACATTTAACACATCATTGGAAGTCCAGTACTTTTGCTGAAACAGCAGTGAGTTGTGCAGAATTGCAGATTCTTGATCACAGAAAGCTGCAACAGGCCAGGATACACAGGCAGGAGAAATGGGCATCAATTACACTTTTATCTCATCTCTCTAGCTCATGATTCTCCCCTGTACATTTCACCTTCACAACAAGCTTGTGAGGTAGGTTAGGCTGAAAGAGAGTGAATGGCCCAAGGTCACCCAGTGAATTTCCATGGCATATTGGGGATTTGAACTCTAGCTCAACACTAACCACACCATCAGTACTGTCACAGATGTATGTGCCAGCTACGTATTCAGCAGAGGGAAGATTCTTGTGAGCAACAGCAGGTCTGCATGCACAAACCCCAAGATCAAGGCCACTGTCTGTTAAAGCTAATGTCTTACAAGACTGATACTATCTAATGCTTAACTATAATGCCTTCATATTTGTTCCAAAATGGAGCAGATCCTGCAGAGTTCAGATTCAGAATGTTCACAGCTACATGAGAGAAACTGCAAGTGCACAGGCAAAGAAACAGGAGGAAACTGAGGCCTAGTCCTCCTCACTGATGAGTCCAAGCTACATTGAGAACGCATCAACTAGATGGCAGGGGGAGCCTCCCATGATCGGATGCTTCATACAATGAGCTCCTTCCACACTGAAAACCAGATGTGAAGGAGAAGGGTGACAATTGCAGTCTGAAGTGGTAGGAGACACCAGCAGAAAGACTTACCACCTTGGTGAGAACTATAAGGTTGGATCCTGTATAGAATCACAGAGTTGGAAGGGGCCACAGAGACCATCTAGTCCAACCCTCCCGCTCAATGTAGGGTCTGCCTAGAGCATTCATGACAAGTGTTTGTCCAGATGCTGCTTTGGACTCTTCTTGTTGAAAACATTTTCCCACTGGCACCAGAGATTGACAAGCAGGAGGAATGTGCTAATGCCGACAATAGACTGCCAAACCAAGGTGTGCTGGTGGCAGAGCTCTGTGTTTAAACAGAGAACTGTGCTAGTTATGCCAGCATTAATTATCAGGGTCCACTCAACAGCAAAGGGATGTGAAGGGAGAGGGATGAACCCTCTCCTAGACCGCAGCAGCTCTCTCCTGACCGGACCTTTTCTTGGTGATTTGCTCCTTAGCTGGGAGAAAAGTTCTTGGGGGAAAAAGGAAGCTACATGGATTTTAAGCTGAAAAATGTAGTATTCCAAACTCCTCATTAGTGTGCCCCTTTTGTAAATTTAACTATCACGAGCACCTTGATATCTAATTTTGTCCTAATTTCCCCCTTTTGGGAGAAAGGTGAGACTGAAATGACTACAGTAGAACCCAATGCAGAGTTATTCCAGTCTAAGCTCACTGATACCAATGTTAATCGCTTTCAGCAAGAGTTACACTGCCAAACATCTTGTCAAACCATGAAACTGCATGAAAGCAATACAGATCAGTGAGAAACAGTATGGTGTACTAGAATGCCAGGTTGCCTCCCCAGTTGCAATAGTTCTTCTTGGGTGCTTCTCCAAAACACCATTGTCTGGGCATCTCCCCATGGGGTTTTGTTGGTGTTACTGTGACTTTTCTCAAACCTGCTTTGGTGTATTTCCCAAATATTGTTCTCAGATGTTGGTCTGAGGGAACTGTGGACAGGAAGGTACAAACTTCTCACCTACATCTGGTGCCATTTTCCCTTCCCCCACTTTAACACACCCCCCAGCCAGGAAGCTTTTTCCTGTTCTTAAAAAAAATTATTAATAATAAATATATTGCTGTGTTTTTCTCACATGATAGGGATAGGGAGAAGCAAACTCCCAATTAAAAAAATAATGTCAAAGGGGGGGGGGGAATCACCCTGCTTGGACGCTCCAAGCAGTGAGAGTAAAACATGGCATCACCCCCATGAGGAAGCAGCCTCAAATTTGGGCTTTTCCACATTTCCATTTTACTCACTAGTAAGTTCCTGTCTCTTTTTTTTGGGGGGGGGGTTCCCCTGTTTCGCTCCCTCTAGTGGTCAATTCAGGTAACACAAGTTTATTTCCAGCATATCTCCCTGCAGATTTAAAATGCGGGTTTTCATGCTGGAAATAAACTTGTCTGATATCAAATCAACCACCAGAGGGAGCAAAACATGTACGAAAGAGAACACCCCCCCAAGAAACAGGAACTTTGTTGTTGTTGCCATCAAGTTACAGTGGACTTATGGCAAACCCATAAGGTTTTCAAGGCAAGAGATGTTCACAGGTTTGCTTTTCACCAGCAAGTAAAATAAGGCTGCAGAAAAGCCTGGTGAATGGGAAAGCCCTGCTCACATCCTTGGGTGACTTTCAGCCAGTCACTGATTCCCAATCTAACCCATTTTATTGGGTTGTTCTTAGGATAAAACAGGGAGAAGGAAAACCATGTATGCATCCCTGAGTTTCTTGGAGGAAGTACAGGATAAAAATGAGATCAGCTAAAGGAAAAACACTGACATTTCCATAACCCTGGCAAATCAAAGGAGGTGGCTAATACTGGTACACATGCTGATGATGAATACTAGTAATAAATATTACCTTTGCAGAACACAGATTTACCTGAAACTACTGTTGATCGCAACCGTTTTTCTTCGAAAAGATATTTGTGGTGGACTGCAAAATTGGAACAGGCAAGAACATCTTTGATTGCTAGTGTAGCTGCTTCAGGTTCTGCAGGGGAAACCACACAGAAAGAGGTGGAGTTAAAATATTTACCAAGCCTTCTCTATTGCATATTATACAATATCTTATTGCAATTCAGCGCTTTATTTAAAATATTCCATCCCACTTGTACACACAATTAGGGCCTTCAAGGCAGTGAGCAGTTAAAAAGACACCGAAAACTAAATGCCTATACACACACACACCCCAATTTAACAAAAACATACAGGCAGGAGGGTCAGTTAGAGAACCCCAAACAAAACAGTGAAGATAATGATAGAGGGAGACAGACAAATCTCTCAGGTGAGGGAATTCCACAATTTTGGTGGCACAACCGAGAAGGTTGTTTCGTGGACTGCCACCATCTGGCCTCACATGGCAAGGATACCCAAAGCAGGGTCCCATAAAGATTATCATAATGGTCAGGTAGGTTCATATGAGAGTAGGTGGACCACAAGCAACTTAACTTCAGTTCACAAGCAACTTAAACGTAACTTTTTAGTGAAGGAGATCCAACTAGGATATCATCTTTCTGAAAGGTTTTTAGACTAATCCAGCACAGAGACAGAATATACATATTTTATACTTTTTCAGATTGATACTGTAGCATGGCTTTAGCTGAAACAAGTTAATGTAAAAAAATCCCCATATGTATCTGACCAAACAGGTCAAATTATGAAGGCTGTCTTAAAAGTTTCATGCATTTTGCTGTACGAAACTTGGGAGGACAACATTACAATCCATGGACAACATTACAATGAATGCATCCCAGTCTTACATTCCCTGGAGAAGAAACAGTATAAAAATGCTTAGTGAATGATCAGCTGAAGTGGAAACCCAACATACATAGGCTGAAAATATCAGACCTTCAGAATATGAATCCATTAATCCTTCTGGTAAATCCTGATGGTATTTCAGAGCTGGAAGAAATATTGTCAAAAAGAAGTAATACAGTTATACAGTAGCATTGGTTGCAGAAGGTGATACATATAATCGTGAAGATACAAAAGCAAAATTGATAGTACAAGCCAACTTTGCAATAAACATTGCCTTAAGTAGAAATAATTATTTTAGGACAACATAATACATCAAAAAGAATTATTTCTGTTAGTATGGTTTATACTTCCCCAGATTTTTTTGCATTCACCCTTGAGCATATGTATATCTAAACAAATCTAAGCTGGGGGTTTAGAGATTTTGACAACAGCAATATTTGTGCTCACAGACTGGCATAAATGCCTCCAGTTGCAAAAGAGAATGGCTAGATCCAAATTATTGTGAATGGAGCAACAGTAGTGGATGGAATAAGAAATTCTCCCTTTCCGCTGTCAGTACAGCCTACTGAAACCCCCTGAAATTCTACTCTCGGAGCTCAGGGGACCCTTAGGTATAGCATGCAGGCAAAGTGGGGGAGGACTGCAGAGGCAGCAGGGAACTGGCAATAAAACATCTGTTCTACTGACTGTGATTACACAGCACCTTTCAGTCAGTGAAGCAACTGCTGGGAGGGGGAAAATTAAATATCTGATATTTCAAGAGAGTGACAGAATTCATTTTTAAAAAAATGATTCAGGTTGGGGCTAGGGTTGCCAGCTCTGGGTTGGAGATTTTGTGGGTAGAGCAAGCAGGGTTTGGGGAGGGACCTCAGCAGGGTACAATGTCATAGAGTCCACCCTCCAAACTGGCCATTTTTTCCAGGCGGAGCTGATATCTATAGCTTGGAGATCTGTTGTAAAACTGGGGCTATATAAGTAGTCCAAAGAAAAGTGTAATCCATTTTTTTGGCTAATTTTGCTTGTATTTGGCTTGTGGGCTGAAGTTGGATACCTGTGCTCTAGAAAAACTACAGACGGAGATTCTAAGCTTTGCGTAGACTATGTCTGGTTTATGAGGCTATATCAGACATTATCCAGAAGAATCACAGGTTTATGGAGTAGGGGGATATTACCATGGCATACTTAAGGATAGAAATGCTTGGGGCTATATAAGTAGTCCAAAGAAAAGTTTAATCCATTTTTTGGGCTAATTTTGTTTGTATTTGGCTTGTGGGCCGAAGTTGGATACCTGAGCTCTAGAAAAAGTACAGACGGAGATTCTAAGCTTTGCGTAGACTATATCTGGTTTATGAGGCTATATCAGACACTATCCACAAGAATCACAGGTTTATGGAGTAGGGGGATATTACCATGGCATACTTAAGGATAGAAATGCTTGAAAATTGCTAAAAATAGAGGTGGAAAGCAACAAACTCCTCCCACATCTCCTCTCCTCCAAATGCTCCACCACAGTCTTCCAGGACTGTCTTGGAAGTAAAGGCTAGCATGAAAAGGATGGTCAATTATATGTTGGGATAGGGAGATGCTTCCTCCCAGCCTGAGAACTCCCATAAGCCATCTACCTACCCTCTGCTGGGAAAGGAAACCATTGACACTGTTGAGACCAGGAAGCCCTGGGCTGATCAGCAGCAATGGTGGCTGCCAAACGTGTCTGCATGGTGCTTTTTACATATGGACAAAGTAGGGCAGGGGAAAATGCGAGGACAAAGCATTGAACAGACTCTCCTTCCCTCCATTTAATCTCTCAATTTCACCATTTCAGTTAATAAAAAACAGAACTGTGCACTGCATGGAAACTCATGGACTTCCAAAATCTATGCAGACTTAGTTACGTCCATGACTCCTACTCAAGTTCCATCAGATTACATTAAGGGTGTTTTAATATGTGACAGTAAGTGGAGCAACTGATCGTCTCTAGGACTTCTTCTGTTATGTACGAATGTTGTTTATGATTGCAGCAGATAATTTGGAAGAGTTTTTGAAAATGTATCCCAAACAATGCAGGTTTTACATTCTCATTAAAAGTTTAGTCTTGCTGCCTGGGGGAAAAAAGGAAACAATAATTTTAAGAACACTTGGAAGGCCAGACCCATGGATCATATAACTGGAATGAAATGCTATGATTTCATAGGTATTGTTTCTACATACGTCTCTTTATTTCTTCTATTCTAAATGTTGTTATGTACGAAAGTAAATCCAAACAAGTTATTTTATTTACTGCCACACAACTTGGAGCGCCAACTTGTTTCAGTAGTGTTCCTTCCAACTCAAATGTGACTAATTCTAACCCACCGGGCTGTCCTAAGAGAAAACTGTAACTCAGTACATTTCCACCCAATGTTTCTGAAGGAACACATCATGATGCTTTTCAGTTTACTGCTGATCTGACTGCAGCCTATACAAAGGGGAGGGCGTTACCAGTCCTCCTGGGTTTTTGTAATTGTACATTTCATACATGACTTATTAAACTGGCAGAAGTAGTACAAATGATTATATATGTCCTTGGCCTTAGAATAAAGTTATACACTCCCCAAGTGATAAACAGCTGAAATATTACTCGTCCCAGAGGTTTATTGCTCAGCATGTTTCACACGTATCCCTGTGATTTTGCAGATGTTCAGACCAAATGGTCAGCTTCCTTGTGATAGGTCCCAAAAATTTCATCTGCACGAAACTTAATTTTATACCTTCACAGATTCTTTTTTGGAGCTTTTCTCTTATTCCTTCCATGGCACTAAAATTCTCAGCATAAAAAAGATGTTTG